GGTCTACAGTTCATTGGTAGAGCACTTCCCAGCATGTGTGAGGCACTAGGTTCAATTCCAAACACTGCCAGAAAAATTAATTTAGGACTGGAGAAATGGCTCAGCAGCTGGGAGAGCTTCCTGTTCTTTTAAAGGACCAGAGTTCAGTTCCCAGTGCCTACATCAGGTGCTCACAACTTCCTGTAACTCCAACTCAAGGGGATCTGAAGCCTTCTTCTGGCCTCCACAGGCACACTCACACATGTGGCGTTCACCAGTGTAGGCACACACACACACACACACACACACACACATACACACACACACACGCATAAATACTTTTAATTAATTAAATGGGAAAGGAGCTAAATAGACAATAACTCACACAGAATAATAAGACAAGAGGGCTGGAGAGATGGCTCAGTGGTTAAGAACACTGGCTGTTCTTCCAAAGGCCCTGAGTTCAATTCCCAGCAACCACATGGTGGCTCACAACCATCTGTAATGAGATCTGATGTATACATAATAAATAAATAAATCTTAAAATAATAATAATAAGGCAAGAGGGCTGGAGAGATGACTCACAGGTTAAGAGCACTGGCTGCTCTTCGAGAGGCCACAGGTTTGATTTCCTCAGCCACATGATGGCTCACAACCATCTGAAACTCTAGTTCCCTGGAATCTGACCCCCTCTTCTGACCTCCGAGGGCACCAGGTATACACATGGTGCACATTTGTACAGGCAGATAAAACATTCATACACATAAAATAAAAAAATAAATCTTTAAAAGGGAGAAGAAGGCAAGTAAGGAGCTGGCAAGAGGACTCAGCAGGTAAGGAACCCAGTCCTGGAAGCCGCCCTCCACAGTTGCGCTGTGGTGCATGCACATGTGCACATCATACACAACAACATCAACAGCAAATAGTTTAAAAGGGCCAGTCAGATGGCTCAGCAGGTAAAGGCTCTGGCTGCCAAGCCTGATGACCCAAGTTCAATCCCCAGGACTCCCACATTATAGAAAGAGAAATTCTCCCCCCCCCCTCCACACACACAAACACACAATAAATAAGTACATCTTTTAAAAAGAAATAAAACAAAGAACAAACACAGGTGAGGATGGTGGGCAAGAACCATACACTGCTGGTGGGAATATAAATTAGTGCAGCTACTATGGAAATCAATATGGAGGCACCTCAAAAACTAAAACTCCCAGACCTCAAGCCAAGTTGTGGTGGCTCACATCTTTAATCCCAGCACTTGGAAGGCAGAGGCAGTCGGATCTCTGTAAGTTCAAAGCCAGCCTGGTCTACAGAGTGAGTTCCAGGACAGCCAGGGCTACACAAAGAAACCCTCTCTTGAAAACAAAACCAAACAAAATAAACAAACAAAAAACCCTCCCAGAGCTCGAATGCACTAAGTCCTGGCTGCTGTTCTCAGTTCCCTGCCTCAAATCCTACCATGACCCAGTTGTACCACTCCCGGGATCCTTCCAGTAGCATCCGTACAAACAATAGAGAGCTGCACACCCATGTTTACCGAGGCTCTAGTCACAACAGCCAAGTCATGGGAAACAGCCTCGATGCCCATCAATGTATGAATAGATAGAGAAATGCGGTACATTTTTATATGTGTATGCGTGCATATATTTACACACACAATGGAGTGCTATTCAACCATAAAGAAAAATGAAATGATGTCATTTGCAATAAGAATGGAGCTGGAGAGCACTTGAAAGCTGGATTTAGATGAACACCGGATCTCTCTCTCATTTGTTCAGTTGTGGGACCAAGAACGCACAAGAAGACAATCGAGGATATGAAAAGGGTAAGGGGAGGGAGAGCTAAGGGATAAGAGAGGGTAACAGCAGAGGGGAGTCAAAGCTGTGGTCTGCAACGATGTCACCCTGAAACTCAACGCTTTGCGTGGTGAGCATGTGCTTCAAGAAGCTGAGCATGCTCTTTGGGACCTTTTCCCTATGGTGGGATGCCTCACTGAACCTTGATGCAGGGCGGAGGAGCTTGGTCCTGCCTCAACTTGATATGCCATGCGTTGTTGACTCCCATGGGAGGCCTGAATGGAGATGGAAGAGGAGTGGATGTGGGGGTGGGGGAGGGGACAGGAGGAGAGAAGGGAGGGAAACTGTGGTTGGTATGTAAAATAAATTTTAAAAATTAATTTAAAAAAAAAAGAAAAAGCTAGCGGGGCGGTGGTGGCGCACGCCTTTAATCCCAGCACTCGGGAGGCAGAGGCAGGCGAATCTCTGTGAGTTCGAGGCCAGCCTGAGCTACCAAGTGAGTTCCAGGAAAGGCGCAAAGCTACACAGAGAAACCCTGTCTCGAAAACCAAAAAAAAAAAAAAAAAAAAGAAGCTAAGCATGCATATTCCGTACACACTGATCACCTACTTACGTTCTTGAAGCACATTAAGATGCCTTTGTGGGGAATCCTCAGTTCTCAATGTTCAGAGCAGCTTTGCCTATAATTACCAAAGAATTGGTTAATGGGACATTGAGATGGCTCAGTGGATAAGGAATGAGGGCACCTGACACCAGTTCAGTCCTCAGGAAACCCCCTCCCCCCATCCACATGGTTGAAAGAGAGAATGGATTCCTGCAAGTTGTCCTCTGATCTCTGTTTATGTGTCAAGGCACTCGTGTGCCAACACACACATACATATATTCTTGCATACACTCGCTCATATATACACACACATATACACTTACATATATACAAACTCACATGCAAACAAAGCCCAGTGTATGTTACATAGGTACTGGAGGGGTGCTCCTTGACATAGTAAAGGAATTTCTAGCAACAGATGGATCTGACCTCTACCATCACAAGGCACAACCTGGCCCCCTCTCCAGCTACCTTCAGGACACAAGGACAGGCAGCTGGGAAGCATCCCTGTCCCTCCCTGGCCCTGTCCTTCTCAGGTCAGGCCTGGGTCGCAGGTTCACCCTGTCATTTCCAGCTGTCCTGGAATAGGAAGAATTGAGCAACCTGACAAGTTTATTGCTGCTGTTATTTTATCTTCTTTTTTTGAGAAGAGGTTTCACTAGGTACCCCAGGATGGCTTCTAAATTGTAAGGGTTCTCCTGCCCCAGCCTCCCAAGTGCTAGGATTGTAAGCACACACTGTGGGAGCCCACAAAAGCTTCCTAGTGAGATCTGAGCCTGCTTTACACACCAGGGCTGCATACGGGGATGGACTGACCACATGCATGGTCACCAGGTGTCTGGGATGGTCTGCTCTTGGCTGTACTGGGGGGAGGTCTTTTGCTCCACCCCTTGGCATTCCTTTAAAAGCCCTTTAGTAGCTGGTGGGGTACTCTGGTCTTCCTCAACACACCACCGTATCCGGTGGTCATTTTAAGTTTTGTTTGTTTGAGGTAAGGTCTCACTATGGGGCTCTACCTGGCTTGCAATTTGATTTGTAGCCCGGGTTGGCCTTCAGATCACAGAAATCCGCCTGCCTCTGCCTCCCAAGGGCTGGGACTGAAGACATGCCACCACACCCTTCCTCATCTTACATTTTGAAAAACATTTTTTTTTTTATCATAAAATCTATTTGATGGTTTAAAAAAGAAAAAAGCCCAGTGCAGTGGCGTATACCTATAACCCCAGCTTGTGGGTGTTCAGGCAGGAGATCCCTCAGGTTGCTGCATATGCAGCCTTTAGCTCGTGGAACCTGGCTGACTAGCGGCACAGGGGTCTTATGGGGTCAGAGTCATCCCTGCTTCCAGCCCTGCTTTCTGGTCAGGTTTACACTACCATGAACTCTGCCACACTCTCCCCACCGTGATGGGCTACTGTACCCTCTAAACCCCTGAGCCAAAATGAACAGTTCCTCCTTCAAGCTGTTTGTCGGGATTTTTGTCACAGTGATGCAGAAGGAACACATACCCACGCCTGGGTAGCAGGTATGTAGGCTCCACAGCTTGAGGATTCTCTCTCGCAGTCTGGCTTCAGCTGGAGCTCCTGTGTCCCAAAGACCCTGCCTTCTCTGCGTCACACAAGATGCCCAGACTTATGCAGCCCACAACAAATAGAAGTCTAAGTGGTTAGCAATGCCCACACCCTGCCAACACCCGTGGGCTCCCCTGCCCACGCCCGGCCAACACCCATGGGCTCCCCTGCCCACACCCGGCCAACACCCGTGGGCTCCCCTGAGCCCAGGCTGTTTTCCTGACCCAGCTGTTTCCCTTGTTTGTGATCTTGCATCTCACTACAGAGCTCTGCTTCACCCGGAGCTCACGATGTAGCCCAGGCTGGCCTTGAGCCCTGCCTCTCTGCCTCCCGAAGGCTGGGGTTACAGGCAGCACTGTGATGTGCAGCTGCTTCTGATGACTCACACAAAGCTTGTGTGAAACCAAGAAAGGCACAAACCAACAAGACAACCTTGCACCCAGCATTCAGGAGGATAAAATAGGCAGACTGCAAGGTCAGGGTCAACCTGGACCATTCAGGGAGACTGACCCAGCAAATAAAGCAAAGCCTTACCAGGAAGAGGAGGGAGAGGAATACAAGAGGAGGAGGAGAAAAAGGAACAGAAAGATGAAGGAGAGAGAAGGAGCAGGAGGAAGAAGAGGAAGAGAAGGGAGAAGACAAGAAGACAGGAAGAGAGGGGAAGGAGAAGGAGGAGAAAAAGGAAGAGCGGAGGAGGAGAAGGAGGGAGAGGAGACAAGCTGAGAGGAAGAGGAGGAAAAGGAGCAGGAGGAGGAGGGAGAGGAGGAGGGGGAAGAAAGTCCACACTACTGTGCTTAGGAAGTCAGGTCTCTAGCGTTGCCCTTAAAGCTGGTTTTGGTTTCGTGCATCTGTAGGTGTTCTCTTTTGTTGGTTTTATCTTTGTTGTTGCTATTGTTCTGTAAGGATTCACTAGAGATAGTTATCAACAACCATGCTGATTAAACCAATTAAGAGTTCTAAGTTCTTTTCATTGACAGCCAGATCGCGGGCTTGAGTGTCAGTGTTCTGCTTTGTGCAGGCCAGCGGAAGAGAAAGTGTCACTCCGTAATGTGATTCAGGCTTAGCAAAAGCTTGGGGGGGGGGGAGGGGATCAATCTTGATGGACGAACATGGCTTTGCAAAAGTGTCCTTATTATTACACAAATCACACCTTATCTGGAGTTGTTTGAAGGAACCATTTGCCTAAGCAATTCTCAGCCATGAGACCTCCTGGCTTGCCAGGTCCTAAATTATGCAAAGGCTCTGTGTGTGGTTCCTTCAAAACAGCAGCTCAGATAACAATCCCTGATTTAACAAAAGGTAATTCAGAGCCTTGGTGCTATCATCCAGATTTCAAGCCAGATGCAATGGCTCTTTATCAGTAAGAGATTACTTCTGTGCACTTTCTCCTTGGCAGTCATATTATTTAATAAGCTAATAACTTGCTCTGTTTCAGGTGCTACATTTTTTATAGAATTTAACCTTTTCCAGAAAGCAACCCAGAGAGCAGAACCAAATCCTCAGTAATGATAAACAGATAAGAGCATACCCAATGATACAATTAAAAATTATGAATTTTGCTCTTTTAGTTCATTTACTGTGAAAATTAAGCATTAATTTAGGCATTGATCAGAAGATCAAGGGATGATAACATCCTCCATATAATGAATGACCAATACCTCTGGAAATGTAAATAGCATTGGCTTAGTACTCTATGCCCTGACTGCAATTATTTTGTACTAGAAATTGGGCTTGTTTTGACTTTTTTTTTTTTTCTTGTCAAGGGACCATTGACAATGAGTTATTCCCGAAATTAGGGGAAAATAAAAACATTTCCCATGAGGGAACCTTAATATTGAGTTATTCCCACACTGAGGGAAAAGCAAAAAAGCATTTAAACCACAATTAAGCAAACAAGAAAATTCTGAGTTCTGGGCCGGCTGTGCCAGCTCACGCTGCAGCTGTGGAGCCCCGCCCACCCGCCCTCCCGCCCACCGTCATTCTTCGGAATTCAGGTGTTCCGGCTCTGCGTTGGCGAGCCCTCCCTGACAGGCAGCATGCAGCCAGAGACTCTGGGTTCCTGCTGACGTTAATTCCTTTTTCTCTTTTTTTAAATCAGAAAGAACCTTTCTCCTTCCTCTATTCCTACCGAGAAAAGGCTTTTTTTTTTTTCTTCCCTTTATTTTTTTTTGTTTACGGGGCCTTTTTATTTATAGGCCTTGATTAAACATTTTCCCCTTTTCTACTGGGAAAATCCATTTTTTTTTTTTTTTCATTAAACACTTCCCCTTTTTCCTACAAAGAAGGGCCTTTTTCCTGGACTTACTGTTTGTCTCAGGGGCCATTGATTTGTATCTTTAACATTAGCAATAATTGTGCAGTTACTGATTTTCCTTTTAACAAGCATTTTAACAACTGCACATAGTTGCTCCTGAGATGAGGACTTTAAATTCCCCATGTTTCTGCCGAATCCCAGGGTACTCACTTTTTACCTCCAGTCATGGTGTGTCCAGATCCCTCTGTAATTCCTTCAAAAAAGCAACTCAGATAACAATCCCTGACTTTTAACAAAAGGTAACAATCCCTGACTTTTAACAAATGGTAACAATCATTGACTTTTAGCAAAAGGTAACAATCATTGACTTTTATTTATTTTGCTTTTTCGAGACAGGGTTTCTCTGTCTAGCTTTGCGCCTTTCCTGGAACTCACTCTGTAGCCCAGGCTGGCCTCGAACTCATAGAGATCCACCTGGCTCTGCCTCCCGAGAGCTGGGATTAAAGGCATGCACTACTGCCGCCCAGCAATCATTGACTTTTAACAAGGTTGTTCAAAGCCTGAGTACCATCCCTGGGGATTCAAGCCAGATGCAATGGTTCTGTGGAACCTCTCTCTACACTTGAGCCTCTGAAAAGTCTCTTGGTGTCCAAGTTTAAGGGCATAGTGTTTTGTCTGTTTGTTTGTTTTATGTGCATTGGTGTGAAGGTGTCAGATCCCCTGGAACTGGAATTACAGACAGTTGTGAGCTGCTATATGGGTGCTGGGAATTGAACCCAGGTCCTCTGGAAGGGCAGCCAGTGCTCTTAACAGCTGAGCCATCTCTACAGCCCAAGGGATACAATTTTTAAAGGCAAAACCCAGAAAGATACATCAAAGTTAGATGAGGGTCAGAGCAAGCCTTGAAACATTCATTCCTGGCACAACATAGTTTTTTAGGCATAACTTGTCAATTATTTTGGTTAGTACGTCTGGACCACGGTCTCGGCCATGGAAATCTCAAATGTGTTGCCAAGGCTGACGTAACTGTGGCAGGGAGGGTAGAGGGCTGAGAACTGTGTAGGCAACACACAAAAGGGTGTCAGAACAGGGTGTGTGTGTGTGTGTGTGTGTGTGTGAGCACGCGTGCGCACATTCCTGTGTACGCAGGTCACTCACCCATAAGGACACACGAGGAAGCAAGAAGTGAGTGTTAGATCTCCTCCTCTATTGCTCTGTACCTTATTTTCAGACAGTCTGTTACTGAACCCAGAGCTTGTGGTTTTGGCTGGTCTGGCTGGCCTGAGAGCCCCTGGAATCTGCTCTCCTCCTACCTGGCTCTTCCCTGGATACGTGAGACCCGAACTCAGGTTCTCATGCTTCTACAGCAAACCCTTCTGTACCCACGGAGCCACCTCCCAGCTCCCTGCCCTGCTCTGTTACTGAGACAAGGTTTCCTGTAGCCCAGGCTGGCCTTGAATTCTATACGCAGCTGAGACCAGCCTGAACCTCTGGTCCTCTACTTCCTGCGTGATGGGATGACAGGCAGGTACCATGTATGGGCTCTTCTCTCTGATCTTAACCTGGTGCTGGCTAGGGTTGGACCTGTGCCAAGGCTCTGAAGGTGCCCAGTCAGAGTCTCATACAGCCAGCTCCACCTGCAACTCTGCTGAGAACAGACTGAGGGTTTATTCCCTGAGCCCTGGTGAAACTGCACATGCTTGAGCCTGAGTTCTCAGAGGTCCAGAGTCCACCAGCCAGCAGAATACTAGCCCCCACCTCCACCCCTTTCTACCAGCACCTTCCAGAAACAGGTCCCAGCTGGATTCTTCCTGCTTCTTTTAAAACATACAAAAAACCAAACCCATAAATACAAGGACAAGAGAACTGTGTCCTGGCTGCCCTGAGGAGGGAGGGGACATTTTTATTGCTTGTTAGTTCTAAACAAATTGTTACATTAAGTTCATAATGAATTGTCCTTCCTGAGTATTCTAATCTGACTCAGTCCTGACTTGTTCTAGAGACAGGGTCAAATCCTTCAGGATAAGGGCTCAGTCTCTACAATGGCCCCCACCTTTTCTAAATGGGTGCTGCTGGAGATTAAACCCAAACTTTGTTCACCACTTTATTTTTATGTATTTATTATTTTAGTCAGGGTGTCATGTATCCCAAGGCCAGTCTCTAACTAGTTGAGGATGACCTTGAACTTTTAAAAAACATTTACTTATTTTGTTTTTGTGTATATGTGTTTGCCTGCATGCATCCACGTACACCACCAGGTCCGTGCAGGTGCCCTCAGAGTTCAGAAGAGGGCATCAGATTCCCTGGAACTAGAGTTATGAGTAGTTGTGAGACACTCATTGTGCATGCTGGGAAGGAACCTAACCTGGGTCCTCCGGAAGAGCATTAAGTGCTCTTAACCGGAGAGCCATCTCTCCAGCCCCAACCTGAACTTCTGATCTTCCTGTCTACACTTCCCGAGTGCTGAGATTCAGGTGTAGGCTACCACACCCAGTTTTGTGTGGTACTAGGAACTGAACCTAGGGCTTTCTGCAGCCAGACAAGTCAGCAATGCACTGACTGAGACAAGTCTCCGGTCCCACAAGACCCCACCCTAAAAATTTTGTTTTTGCGCCGAGCGGTGGTGGCACACGCCTTTAATCCCAGCACACGGGAGGCAGAGGCAGGCGGATCTCTGTGAGTTCGAGGCCAGCCTGGGCTACAGAGTGAGTTCCAGGAAAGGCGCAAAGCTACACAGAGAAACCCTGTCTCGAAAAATCAAAAAAAAAAAATTTGTTTTTGCAGCTAAAGGACAATTCTATTAGCGTTCAAGAGAAAAACAAAAGGCAGTAATCTATAAATCTAGACAACTGCTAGAAAAGGGGGATGGAGAGGAGAAAAAGAGAGAGCCTCTTTTGTGGTTTGTGGTGGAGGTAAACCACCAGGCACACGGGTGAAGAGGGAGGGCTTGGAGAAAAGAAACCTAGATTGCCAGAGAAGGCATGCTTGGGATTTAGCCAGAACCCGAAAGAGGGACAAGAGAAAAAGTTACACATTTTCCGATTTAGGACTTAATTACATTTACTTATAGGG